CAAAAGCAGCAAAACCAGGGAGCTGGACAGGGGACAGATTGGATTTGTCTTCAGTGTGTAAGAGATTGTCACTCTCGAATTGGCCTCTTTAGCCACACTAGACGCTGCTCCAAGTCCTCAATACAGAGCACGTCACCATAGTCTTTCGAGACTGAAGGATGCCTAACTGTTCCCACAGTACCGACTTCCTTTGCCAGGAAGTAATGCCTCGTGCTGATCTTGAGTGACTGAGCATGCTACTATTGGAGAGATGGCCCACGTCCTGCCCGCACTTAAGCACCTTCTTGTAGTGCATGCACTCAGACATGTGAGTATGTGAAAAGGGCCTTCTTCACCACCTTTTTTGGCATCTTGCCCTGGCTGGATTACACAAAGATGTCACAGGAACACGTCTGAGATTCACTTCTGTCTGTCCCACCTTGAAGCAGAGGCTTCTCTACCACCTCCTTGGTAGACAGACAGACACAACACACACACACACCATACTGCTGCCGATACTTAGTAACATGACAGATTTTGTTGGAGGGGGTTTATAATAATTTTATTTATTTATTTATTTATAAGATTTTTAACCATGCCATTACCAATAATAAAGGAACTACTGTAAGTATAACCCTGCCTATCTAGTCATTTCGACCACTCTAGGCGGCTAATAATAATAACAGTAGCAGCTGTTACAGTGGTCGCAGACAGCATTTCTGTAGTCTTCCCCAAGTATCTAGTTCTCCTACCCCACCCATGTTTTATACTGCCTTCACTGTTTTCCCAAAGAACGGTATCTGATTCTGCTACAGTAGAACACAAATATTTCCACATGCATACATACATACATACAGGCAGGTAATCTATTAACTGTATATATCTGTTTATATACTGTATAACAAAATCTTATTTTTCTGCCTGATATACCTCAAATGAGCCTAAACATAATATATTTCCCCTGTTGATTTATAGTTTATTAATTGATAATCTACAAATCCTAATTCTATTCCTAATTATATTAAGTAAACAATATGCAATGAGATGTAGAGGATGTACATGTAAGTGGATGTTTCAGAAAAGGATACAGAGAAAACTGCTGCAGTGCAGGCTTGCATTAGTGCATATCTTAATAGCAAATGTTCAGGTAATTTATAAGCAGCTATGCCCACCTTTCAACTGGAAATAACCAATGTGAAAAAATACTTTCTGGTGTGTGCGTCGGCTTCTAGATTTCATTGGTGCTCAAAGACATTATTTACGGGTTTGCTCTCACTCTAGCCCCCCTCCTTCGGGAAACCCATGGCAACTACAATTAAGAGACTCTGAGTTCTCTCCTCACACTACCATTGGTGCCTGAGTAATTTTATGTTTCATTTCTCAAGAAATCACTCCAGGATGCCTGAGAAATAGGTTTCACTTTCACATCTTCCTCAAGGAAGTAGAAACCTAATATTTTATTTTCTAACTCTAATTATTCCATACTACAGTATATCCAAATATGGTATTATTCTGTGAGTTCTAAATGTTTCAAAATAAAAAGGCTGATCCCTACAACAAACACAGGCTTTGGCGTGTCCTGCATAGATTCTAATAGAAATAGGACTGTATGTTTCCTGTACTAGCTTCAGGTTTCAGGGGATGGGGGATTAAGGAAAGGAAACTCATTGCCCAGCCCCCCTGCACCTGGACCTGCAAGAGGCAGGATGTGTAAACTGAGGATTCTCTGCCACTTTTTCTAATCTTCATGGGTGCAAACAGAAATGAAAAGTGCATATGATGGAATAGGATGGGACTGCCACTACTTAATTTTTTCTCTGGTTTTTGGCTTGTTTTAGTCTTTTTATTGATGATTTTAATTTTATTGCCTTTTTAATTGCCTGTTAATGTTATTGCCTTTTTTGGACTGTAAACTGCCCAGAGTAGATTGGTCTATATGGGTGGTATAAAAGCATCCATAAACAAACAAACAAACAAACAAACAAACAAACAAACAAACAAACAAACAAACAAACAAACAAACAAACAAACAAACAAACAAATAAAGGTCAGCTTTTCTTCCTCAGGCAAATAGTGTCACAATAGACATGGACTGTAGCAGAAGTAGATGGTTAACCCCCCCACTTCATACTGCAGTCCGTGTTACATTTCAGAACATCAGCTATACACTGAAGGAATTGCTGTGCTTCTCTGTGTTTCCACGCAAGGAGAATTAAAAGAAATGTTTCTGGAGGAGAAAATTTGATTTTGTCTGTGTGTGAGAATGGTGACTTTAAAGCCTGAGCATCTCTCTTTGTCTATTCTTAAGTGCAGCCAGGAGTCATTGGATCAGTGTAGATATGTGTGTTGTTGTTGTGCAATTGCAGTCTATCAAAAAGCCACGAGGAAGGGGAAGAGATTGAGAAGACAGCTGGTGGGTTCATGTATGTGGATTTATTCTTTGGAGTAAGGCAAGGAGTGGAGAAGTTTCTTGCAACTCATGAGCCATTTTGCTACACAAACTCATGCAAGACCTGGATATATCATCTTGACTTGACGGTGAAATTACAGGGAATTTTGTGCTGTTGACCTGGCAGCCCTAGTCCTTTCTGAGATCACTCCCTACACTGGCTATTTAGTAAAGAAAAAACATGTCTGAGACAGGGGGTGGGCCTAACGATTCATAGGGACCCGTCCAGCTCTGCATTTCTGAGATTATTTGACCCTAACAGTTTATCTGTTTATGTCTATGAAACAAAATTTTTCTGTTACACTGCAAATCTTTCAGATTTCTAAATTAGTGTTAATATTTGTGATAAAATAACCTTAGAGTTTCAAAAGATGACTCTATTTGTTTTATATACTGTATATGCATAAAAGAGGTTTCATTTCACAGTGAATTTTGATCAATCATGACGGGGATAAAAATCCACCAAGGAAATCTCACTCTGTATTATTTGATAATTTGCTTTCTCCCCTGTTTTCCTAGCTAATAAATTTAGGAAAAAACTGCAAGAACTGGAGAAAGAGAAGAGGCCACTAAAATTTCAACTTCCTTCACGACATCCTTCAGTTAGCAGCTTTTTGAACAGATTCCGAACGCAGCTTCAAATAACATTGAATGGGGATAGTCATAGGTAAGCTTTCTGGATCCTAAAGGCCTTGTAAAAAGTTCTGTAATTTTGCAGTGCTTATTTCCAAAGTAAGGTCCATTTGACTTTTATAAAAGGCTTCAGCTGACATGTTGTCTGTTGTTGAAAAAAAATTACATTTTTACTACCTTTACAGTAGTATTGGCTTGAAAAAGATTGAGAATACTTGGAACAGATGGGTGCTAGTGCTATTGACTGAAAGATACTGTCTAGTTACTCTTTCCCCTTTCATAATAGTTTTTCTGTGGTAAGGAAAAACAAAATAAGGCAAAACAAAGAAGGGAGGTAGCATTACAAATGGAAAATAATCAAGTCACCTTGACCTTTTGTAAATATATGGGAATGTTGGATGTCATATTTAAATGCTGTGCTCGTGTGTCCACGAATAGTGGCACCTGTGTGTCCGGTGGATAGGATCAGAAGGAGAAATTCACTGTTCAGCAAGGTGCAAAGGACAGATCAGAAAGATTATCTGGCGTGGCTGGCTTACCTTAGACTTAGGCTCCTACATGAGGGACATATGATAGGAGATTCAGGAAAGATACAGGGAGGTGCTTGTTCACATACTGTAGTACATAATTTCATTGCAGAATTGGCTATTTCAAGACATTGCCAATGGTTTTAAAAGGGAAATGGACCAATCCATGGGAGGCAGGAACGACAGATAGTTATTGCGTATTTATTCTCCCCAGCAAGCATGGAAGTATGACTGTGTATCATTTGCTGGGAAGTGTGTGTGTGTGGGGGTACTGTGCTTTAATGTCCTGCTTGAGTGTTTCTTGAAGTCTACAGATTGTATACTATGTTAATTGAATAAAAGAGATGATAGGCTTTTGGCGTGATCCACCATGAACCTTCCCGTGTACTTAGATATTTCCTTACATGGTGGCCTCTTCTCAATTAAAAAGGCAAACACAACTCAGTGAGTACAATTGTGATATTTGGCACCTACATGTAAAGTACCAATGACTTCAGTTAAGACTATATGCAGGTCATTAAATATAGTTGTGCAACCTGTCTGTCTCTCAAAAAGCCTGTATTGCAGGACAAGGCAGTAGCAATGGCATTCTACTGTGTTGGTTTATAGGTGGAGAGATGCCTTAGTGCAAAAACTGTGGAATGGGGTGCTACTTACTAAAGGAAATTTTCTCATTTAATTTAGACATTCATATGTGGTGCTAACAGACACATTCTAGACAAACAAAAGTTGCATAATGTATGTCTCTCAAAAAGCCTGTATTGCAGGACAAGGCAGTAGCAATGGCATTCTACTGTGTTGGTTTATAGGTGGAGAGATGCCTTAGTGCAAAAACTGTGGAATGGGGTGCTACTTACTAAAGGAAATTTTCTCATTTAATTTAGACATTCATATGTGGTGCTAACAGACACATTCTAGACAAACAAAAGTTGCATAATGTACAAGGAGAACGTTCTCATTTAATTTAGACATTCATATGCTAACAGACACGTTCTAGACAAACAAAAGTTGCATAATGTACAAGGAGAACAGTTCTTTAAGGGCACATTATGGCTTACTTGTCACATCAACACATCACATTAACACTCTTGTAAGCTTAGCATGAATTTGTTCTTGCATGCTCAGGAAATGACTACCAACTTTTTATTACAACAAATGTCAATGTGCTGTATGTACTGGCTATTGTTTCTGAAAGGTTTAACACTGAAGAAAACCACCCTTTAGAGAAAAGCAAACAGAAGATTTCAAGTCTTCCTTATTGTGAAAAGATACAGGTTCCATCCACAAAGCGAGATCAGCTTTTTGAAGAAAAGGAATGGATACAGGTAAGGACAACATGATGCACCAGTGCATGGGATAGCATGGTTGTGGACATTTACGTATAGGCAAAAGGTTGGTGAAGTCAGATGATTTTCCTACTGTGCAATAGTTAGAAATAACACAATGTATCACATATTTTATGACTTGACATAATAATAATAAAAAATTACATCTCTCATTTTTAATTTATTCCTTCTCCTATCACATGGTAATGTGTAACACATCGTCTCAGATGTATTATTATTTTTTAACTGAAGACTATTGAATTTCTGACAGTATTCCCAAATCAGTAGGTACTGAAAACATGGATGTTTAGGCAACAACTGAAACAACTGAAAACATGGATGTTTAGG